CCGAGGGCTGTACTCCTATTACCGTACTCTCTTCAGACTTCGAAGGAGTTCAGAGAAATGGGAAGAAAGGTAATCGCTCTCTGGATTTCAGAGGTTTACAAATGTGTGGTGAAAAGCTTCATCTGATCTTCCTTTTCTTTTAATCTAAGAGAATTGAGGAAACGGAAGCCTCCGAACAGTGTCTTTCTCTAAAATAAACACTCTAGCTCAGGACTGGATGACTCAGTGTAACCTGGAAATATAAACGTGTGTCTGCAATAGCCTTCTGAAAAGCCAAGCCACATGGGCACAATGAACACCTCCCCAAGTCCAGAGAACAGCCACAAAGATTCTTCCAGTGGAGTCCATCTGCGAGACGAAGTCCCAACCTCGGAGTCCTTCTCCGAGTGCTGCAGCACGGCATTGATAAAAAGCAGTCCCAGAACCCACTGCTGAAGTTACACAGACATCAGGAAGCAACTGGGCCCTGGTAGTAAAGGATCCAGAATGAACCACAAGGGAGCAGAGTGCACTCTCCTCAGGTCCCAGCAGAAGCCACTCCCACTGAGACATTAGTTTCACTCATTTATCTCAGATGGCTACAACTTTGAACACTCTAAATTGTAAACCTAGCTAAAAAGACACAGAACACTCCATCCCTGAAAAGCAGTAGTGTCAAGTATTGCTGCTATCTGCAGCAAAGGGCATAAGAGCAACCAGGAACAGGTGGACAGTGGGGACCTGGCCAAACAGTAGCAAAGTGTAACCCACCCTACATGGGAGACATGGGAGTTTACTTCAGAATCGGACATATCATCAGAATAGCAAAAATAGGGTGGGAAAACTGATCTTCCTGTGTCCAACACACCCCTCCACTCCTCCTCTATGACCACAGTGTATTTGGAGCTCACAAGAACAAGAGTCTTCCCCACTCAGGGCCTGTGGGGCTGGCCTGCCTCATCAGCCATATTAAGAATATAGTTAGCCATGTCATCTTCAGTGGGTGCATCTGATACCACCCATGATTCGTTTGCTCCAGTCTTGTAGAAGACAAATGGGGCAGTTCCTGTGTCGATCACTCCATTTATCAATACACTTCTGACAGAAGCTGTGAGCACAGGGCAGGATGAGGTCAGCCCAGCCGTCCAGCTAAACCCGCTAGGCAGCAACGGCACGGCGGCCGTCCCAGGTTTTATTTTTATTTACATGTTCTGAATGAGTGTATGGTGTGTGTGTGTGTGTGTGTGTGTGTGTGTGTGTGTGTGTGTGTGTGTCCACGAAGGACAGAAGATGGCATTGGATCCTCTGGAAATGAGATTACGGGAGGTTGTAAGCTCCCCAACATATTATTGGTTGGGTCATCTAAAAGAGTAGCAAGTGCTTTTAGACATTGAAAATAGTGGAGAAATGTTTAGAAAAAGTAACAGGACTTTGGCAAGAGAAGGGCAGAGCAAACAAGAGAAATAGGGGTGATGTAATTATGTTCAAATATATCACATTTGAATGAAAATACTATGAAAGCACTTTTAATAATGAATAAATCTTAAGGTATTTATTATAAGAAAGAATTGACATTACCTTTTTGAGGAAAAGTTTTATATGGTTTTATGTGTATGGTATAAAATATAAACTGGCCAAATTTGGGGGTGTGGCTATACAAATGGTAAGCCTTTAACATTAGCAAGTGTCAGGAAAATGCAAACTGAAATCACAATAAGTTACCATTTGTATGAGTGAATTTGTCAGTAACAGAAAAGTTGACAAGTGTTATTGAGAATGTGAAGATGAGCAACCCATATTTAAAAGGAGCTAAAAATGGATGGATGTTCATTATGAAAAATGTGAAGGTCTCTCAAAAAGATTAAAATGCAACTACTGTAACAATTGGCAAGTCCAATTGTGAACATATAAATAAAGGATTTCAGGTCAATGTGCCCGAGATTCCTGCTCTGCTATAGTTATTGCAGAACTATCCATAGGGGTCAAGGTATGACATCCTTGTGTTCATCCATGGGTATATGAAAAGGAGACGTGAATATCCACAATGAAATACATCTCAAAAATAGCAAAACCTCGTTACTTTAGACGACATAAATAAACTTGAAGGACGTCATGCTAAATGGAATAGCCAGGTAGAGAAAGAAACACACTTCATGATGTTGCAGGTTAAAGTGGGAAAAGTCTAAGAATAAAGTGATAAGTACAGTCAGCCTTGTTCCATCAACGATTGGTACCCTTTACTGTCACTCAAAATATTCTATCCAATCATGGAGGAGACTCGGATCTGTCCAATCAGACCCATGCTCTGAGGCGGGGCGTACTTTCCCGAGCAGTCTCCGGCTCCGCCATGTTGCTTCCGGTTTCCACCGTGGTCGTGGTCCTGGGTGTTTTGGCCCTACGTTCTCCTTCTGGTGAAAGCCACACAGAAGCTGACGTCCAGCACCAAGGTGAGTGCAGCCTCTGGGGAACCGGCGGGAGCTGGCCGGGGTCGGTCCTCAGCTCTTCGGCTGTTCCGGGTGCAGAAGGCGCTGGGCTGGGAACCTGTGCGGGGCTGAGCTCACTGCCTGTCTCTCTCCATTCTGGAAGCTGTGCTCAGCCTGGCCCTGTTCCTGAGTCCTGCGGCTCCTGAGCTTAGTCCTCCCTCCACCAGGTTGTGGTGTGTGGCCCCACGCTGCAGTTCAAAAGGACATTGCAGACTCTGTATGATGCTTCATTGTGAGGGCTTCACCGGAGAGGAAGGCATCGAGGAGTCAGTCCCTTGACCGATTAGTAAGGGGAAAGCTGGTGGGGAGGATGTTGGCAGAGAAGCGATGGCTGGACTCCTAGGTGAGGGACCAGCGACTTTGGGGTGTTAATCAGCCAGACCACAGTTACCAGAGACTTAGCCATCACTGCATTCTTGCTTCATTGCTAAGGGCATCTCTTCAGACCTGTTGTGTCTGGAGGAAAGAGCTATGACACAGCAGTAGTTCACAGAGGAGCCGAGCTGCCTCATGGTGGTTTTAGCTCCTTTGGACCCACATTCAGAACTGTGGCTTCCTGGAGCCTATGGTAGTTTTACTTCTAGTGTTCTGAATACCCTAATACTCGTTTTTAAAAACAGTATAGAAGCGGTGTGTAGGGACACAAAGTTACCATCTCAGCCAGTTCTCTCTGGGATAACATTTTAAAAACTGTACAGATCTCATTTGTTGTAGCTACACCAGCTAGAGCGAGTGAATTTGTGGGAGGGAGCTAGGCCGAGGTCTGACTGCAGGGAGACCGGCCATTGTGAAATACCACTGCAAAGGTCCTACAGAGAATTTGCCAGTGTGGTCTTGAGAGGAAACCATCTAGATGGGAGGAGACACACTTTCTGTGAAATTTAAATATGTAACACAAGATCTACTAGCAGGACAGTTCTTTATGGTGCATTTGTGTTGAACCGTACCAAACTGACAGGAACCTAAGTAATATTGCCTTTGTAGCTTCCTATGATTTCTGTGACTCAATAATGTTCATTAAACACCCACCCTTAAAACATTGAATTATTTTAGAATAACATAGTTGCTAAGCAAGCATCAGATGTTTGCATTAGCCTGTGTATAACTGAATGATGAATCTCTACCATTTAATAAAATTCCTGGTGCTCCTTCAACAAGATCCGTTGTGGCAGTTTTCAAGTATAACACTATTTCCGTACAGGGAGACATTTTCATTGTCTTGTAGCTTTCTCCCGGTCTTTGTGAATTGGGATCTGAAAGCAAGATCCTATCTTGTGAGTTAATTTCTGTTGACCTTCTCTTCTAGCTGCGATTGCACGGTCCTCTCATGTCTGAAAGAACGAGGACAATGGACACATATGAGGTAAGTTGTATAGTTAGCCTCACCTTGTCTTATACTATAGTTTAGGACTTTTGAAAATTGGAATGGAAGAATAAACCTAATGTAAGGTAGATACATCCAGATGAGAGCATGGGATGTGTTGACGGAGCCACATTATAAGGTCTTTTGTAGAGTGATTAAGTCACATGCAACGTGGTCTCTAGTTCTCCTGACATGGTCTGTTTGTTGTAGGAGTTGGACTGACTCAGAAAGTGCCAGCTTCTCGTGTCCTGTGAGTTCTAAACAGGCTGCATGGACACGTGCATGCCGTGGACAGAGCTGCATTCCCAGGCTGGAGATGAACACAGCCTTCAACAGTGTCAGTTCCCAAGTGCTCAAGCTCAGATCGATTCACAGGGCTCTTCTTTGCTGGCTAAAGTTGTATAGTTCCACAGAGCTTTAGGAAGACCCCACTTAAGTCAGATGAGACCTGGAATGTATGAAGACAATTACTGTGGGTCCTTCACTTCTCTCCCTGCGTTTCCTCTGTGTGTGTGTGTGTGTGTGTGTGTGTGTGTGTGTGTGTGTGTGTAGATCATAACAATGTCCCAGCATAAGTTGCTGGTAATAACTTGTCTTTACAGTTTGCATTTTTTCTCCTACTCACTGTGCTCTTGGTTCAGATTCTGCACAGCCATCGCAGTCAGGTGGCAACACTGCCCTCTGCCAGCTGCCTTACTTAAGCCTCTGCCGTGCGGCAGAGTTGTGCCCTTCATCTTCACCGGGAAGGTCTTCATTTCAGTCTTGATGTTGCTGCTGCTTCCTCAGCTCCTTTTCTTAGTTCTTTTTCTCCTTCTCATAGCTTACTCTTTTCTTCTGCTCAGTTCCCCACTCATCCCACCTTAGAGGACTTCTGTAATCCAACCCGTTGAGTTTAGTGACTAGTTCTTGGTAGCATGAACCACTTGTTAGCTTTCAGATTGTAAGTTTAACTCCTGTGTTGATATGCAAAGACATATCAAGCTCTCCTTGACAAAATGGAAGTCACAGCCTCCATTTTTTTCCTTGTATATGGTATTGACACTGATCTACCTTATGGCCTTGATGAGTGCGCTGGAAGGAGGGATTTCTTTCTTTCTTTTTTTTTTTTTCTGGACCGTTTTTTTCCCTCCACCTCCGTTCCCTTCCTTTGCTCCCTGAGGTCTAATGTTAGGAGTTGCAGTTCCTGCTGGCTTTGTTAGTTGTTCATTCTTGGTCCAGGGGCAGCATGTGATGCTGTGGATGGTGAGGAAGTGTGGCTGCCTAAAGACGAGTATCTACTTTCTTGCTCACACTGGAACTGTCCGTCTCTGCTAGGCTGGAGGGGTCTGTTCCTCAGTGGTGAGGCCTGAGTGCTGATGAACTGTACTGCTAGCAAGTGGGTGCAATGCAGGCCTGGGGAGTAAGTGGGAGAAAACAGAAGTTAGTGGGATACCATTAGTGTGGGAGTCCTGAGAAAGGCACACAGAGCAAAGTAAAAACAGGAGCATGGATCTGAATAATGTACATATCTTGATTATATATTTTATGTCAATACTTCCAAACTTCTGGTTTGTAGATCATAAAGAATATATTTCTTGCTCAGAAATGTTTTGACATTACTTTAAACACAAGAAACAGGACCAGCTAGACTGCAGTCCTGACAGGGTTGGGGCAGGAGTCTCTACAGAGGCTATAAGACACTGGGTCAGTTCCAACAGCTGGCTCGATGTTTCCCATATACAGAAGCCAGAGTATGGGAATTCGCAGGCGAAGGTGAGAAGAGTACCACGCACTCGTACCTTCATTGACGTGCACAGTGGCTCAGGGTCATGGTCAGTAGCTTAGAAGGAATCCTGGATTCAAAAATTGAGGCCAAACACATTTGGGTAACAGGAGTGTTGACATTATCTGGATGGTAGAAAGAGATGAAGGTATTTGTGTCTCCTGTCAAACCTCATCAGAAATGACCTCAGCAGAGGACTTTACAAGTAAAGTACCTGGCACTAGGAACTTTTAAGACAAGGTCTCACTAGATGACCTTGGTTGGCCTAGAACTGGCTCTGAAAAACAAGCTGGTCTTGAACTCACAGACCACCCACCTCTGCTTCCCGAGTGCTTACCTTAAAGATAAGCACCGCCACACTCAGCAGCTAGGACTGTTGTTTTGTTTCTGTTCCCATAGCCACATGCACTACTGGCCTAGCTCTCTTATATTGATAAGGAGCAGTGCTTCTAGCAAAGGCCACACCCATGAGACTGTTCAGCTGGAGGAACTGATTTTATCCCGAGCACTTTGCTTTCTTCTGACTCCAAGGCAATAGGTGGAAGAGGAGCTAGTGGTGGTTTTCCCGAGTCATCTAGATTACCAAGGGAAAATCCGACTAGTCTACAATGGCGATCGGGGGGATATTCATTACTTTTGTACTGCTGTGACCAAATAAATACCTGAAGAACCCACTTAGGGGAGGGAGATTTATTCTGGCTCATTGTTTCAGAGGTGTGAGTCCATCATGGCAGTGGTGGCAGGTTGGAGTGGCTCCATCAGTGGAGGTGTGAAGAGGAGCAGCTGTTCACACCATGGCAGACCTGGAACCTGAGAGAGAAGTGGGAAGGAACCAGGGGCAGGTATAATCTTCAAAGACACCCCATTTCTAGTCTACTTCCAGCAGCCAGACCCTACCACCTAAACCTTCCAAAGCCTTCAAAGTAGCACCACACACTTTGGATCACATGCTCAAAGCAGTGAGCCTGTAGAGAACATTCCATAGTCAAACCACAAAAGGAAGAGTATGTCTAGAGTACAGGAGATCACTAAGGGCATCTCTTAGTATAACTGTGCCCTCTTGTAGCCAAAACACCCCCATCAGAAAGGACTACAAATATTCTAGACACTTTAGTTATGACTGTAGGTCAGGAATGTTTTTGTGTATGTCCACATATATCAAGCAAATATTTTGGATGCTGGTTTTTCTCTGTAATTTCTTTTAGGTATAGAATTAGGAAGTAAATATTTTTAGAAGTGACGGCATCTTTTTGTGACTGCTGTTGCTTTGTCTTGGGATCTAATTTTATTGTATATGAATTCAAATTTCTCAGCTTTTATTATAGTTGTGTATTTATTGACTACTTCCTTTTAGAAAGATATTTCCTCACTGAAAATTAAAAGTAGAACAGTTCAGACCCAGAAGTCAGTGTAAGCTGTGAAACTCGGTTTAGTGTGCATGTGTGGGTGTTCCTGGTCTATCCTCAAGATTGGATCTTCTCTAACTGATGCAGTCTATTTCCTTGGATGTCAGAGCTATAGGTTATGTTTTGATAAACAACACTTCCAGCTTTGGTGGTTATATAAGCAAGGTATAGATCACATCTGTGACCATGATAGCTTCACAGAATGGCCTTCCTGGAGTTTTCTGATCAGTGTGGAAAAGAACAGCAAACCAAGTGCCAGCTTCAAATGGTCATCAGAAGTGGCAGGTCTCTTCTGCAGATAATTCCTTAGGCAGCGTTAGCTAGTCCTGATTGAGTTGAAATGAGGTGGGAATGGAGGTATATGTTCTGTTGACATAAATGGCACTGAAAATGGGTAGGCAGTGGTCACCATGTCCTGGACTCCTCTTCCACACATATGCCAGCACATCCAAATTACCATCTTTTTAGCGCTTTGTGCTTATTATCTTGTGTCTCAAAATGATGCCAGGAATTCATTTAACACCCATTATGACTACTCTGGTCTCAGATATCTGGCATTTATAGATAAATTTCAACCTACCCTGTACAAAGTATAACAGATTGGAGTATGTGTGGGAACATGGTAATGAGCTGAAGGGGTAAACCTTGAGAGGCATCATCTTCACTACAGTCTTGGAGTCTTGGGCAGGTGTGATGGATAGCCTTAACCCTGAAGATTGGACACCTTCCTAGATGAGGCTCTGATTCTGTGCCCTGGTCATTACTTCCCAAGCCCATGGCTCTAGTTAAGGAACTTCTTATTCTGTTTCCCGGGAAGTTTGGTCTTTGCCGATGATGAATGAAAGCCTTTCCGATGTATTGTGCTCAGAGAATAAGCAGCCCTTTCCCTCTCTTTCTCTTTCACAGTCTTAAATGCTGCTTTTTGTCTAAATCAGTTACTAGGTACCAGCTTAAAAAGGTCACCGGAGATGACAGGTCACTTCTGCAGGTACTTCGTAGGCAGCGTCAGTTAGTTCTTTCTGAGTTGAAGTAAGGTGGGAATGGAGGTATACGTTTTGTTCTGGTCTATACATGCTACCTTAATTTGCTTGTTTTCCAAAAGAAATTAGGAAACAAGTTATCATGGGAAAACAGTTGTTTTCAGGTTAACAAAACCACAGGAGAAAAAAAAATCTATTGTTTCCTTCCCACAAATTGCCTGCCTTCTTTCATGTCACATAGTTAACACATCAGTTCCCATATAATTGTTTATGTAAAAAGCTTGGAAACAAACTGGCATTTTTATCAAAAACAAAATAAGTTAATGAAAATGCTATTCTTTATTTTTCTTTTTGTTGCTGCTTTGTGTTTCCTTCTGTGATGAGTTCCCAATTCCTTACTACCTCTTTTGTCTGCCTAACCCCTAACTCCTGGTCCCCCTGCCTCAGCCTTCTGGAGGAATGGGATCTGTGGAGCTTACCACATTGCATGTCTTCAGTTCTCTGTTCTCAGTGCTCTGTTTCCCAATGTGGAAATTGTGAAGTGATTCTTCCCCTCTGGCTGTGCCCTAAGACCCTCCCCTTTCTCCTTTCATGGGATGACTTTCAAAATGTCTAGGTGTTGAACTGGCTTCTGCTTGTTTAGATAGTGCCCTATAGGATGCTAGTGATGTTTCTGTTGGATCTAGCAGTTCTAAATTTTGGAAGGGCATGTGTGGGTGCCTATGACTGTACTTACGTAACTTACAGACAACATTACTTAGATTTGTAATTGTTAGAGTCAGAGATGTATTCAATAGGGGAACCAAAGGATTATCAATTGCTTACATTTGTTTTCTACCTTTTGTCTCTCATCATTGCTAAATTAGTTTGTTTGTAAGGCATTTTGCAGATGATTTTTCTTCCAGGATGAGAAAACTTATGTATATTGTGTGTAAATGATGCTTGTGGAGAGGAGTGACCTCCCATATTCCTGACCTCCCATATTCCTATTTCTTGCCTAAGGCTGAAGGCTTGGGCTGAGGAATGTTGTCTTATTACAGGGGTTGGTGTCATTTGAGGATGTCTCTGTGGACTTCACCTGGGAGGAGTGGCAGGACCTGGATGATGCTCAGAGGAAGCTCTACAGGGACGTGATGCTGGAGACCTACAGCAGCCTGCTGTCCTTGAGTAAGTGAAAGTCCCCAGTAATCCTATTAGAAGCTTATTCCTTTTTCGTAAGTACAGGAACTACTTCCAAGGATTTTTTGTTTTTTGGGTTTTTTGGTTTTTTGTTTGTTTTTTTTTTTTTTTTGGTGCTAGTGACCAAACTGGTTCTTGTGCAATATAGGTAAGCCCTGAGCTTAATCACCAGACTGTTTGTATTTCTTTAAGATTTGTTTTATTATTTTTGTATATGTATGAGTATTTTGCCTCCATGTATGTGTGTGCACCATGTGCATGCAGTGCCCAAAGAGGTCAGAAACTGCATTGGAGGCCCTGGAACTGGAGTTACAGACAGTTGTTAGCAGCCATGTGGTTGCTGGGAATCAAACCTTGTCCTCTTCAAGAACAGCAAGTATTCTTAATTGCTGAGCCATTTCTCCAGGCCCCGCCCCTGTTGTTTGTTTGTTTTTTGAGGTAGGGTCTCAACATAGCCCTGGCTGTCCTGGAACTCACAATGTAGACCAGGCTGTCCTTGAACTCATAGAGATTCAGCTACCTCTGTTTTCCAAGTGCTGGGATAAAAGGCATGCTCCACCACATCCAGTGCTATTTGTGATTTTAACTGGTACATCATAGTCTTACATATTCATGAAAACATTGCTCCTCCCCAGTCTTGCAACAGCTTCTCTGTAGTACTCGTCTGTGCCTCATTGTGGTGGAGTAGCCTGAGCTGTTAACACAGTGAGAAGCAGCAGAGAGAGCATCAGCACTGTCACGTTCAACAGCAGGAGCTAAAGTTTTATATTCATTTTTTCAAAAACTCTTCCTATATACTACACATGATAGTATACACCTTTGATCCCAGCACTTGGGAGGCAGAGACAGACAGATCTTTGTGAGTTCAAGGCCAGCCTGGTCTACATGGAGAGTCTAGGCCAGCCAAAACTACATAGAAACCATCTCAAAATAACAAAACCAAACACATTAACAAACAAACAAACAAACAACTTCTGCCTGTTACCTGCTCTTTTGGTTTTGTGCTTGTGTCAGTTTTTACATTGGTGCTCTCACTAGTATTTTCTTTGTACTGATTTCCACTTTGGTGTTTGTCCCTTCCCTGTTCCTCTTTCATCCCTTGCTCTTGTGTAAGAACTTACTGCTTTCTTTCTATTGCGTTTACCACATCTTACCACATTGTTGAATGGCAGTAGACTCTTTGTTGCTGTGCACTTTGAAGTTTTTGGTTTGTTTTTGACAGTTCCTCATTCAGGACAGTGTTACCTACTTTCAGTATACTTTTCATGATTTTTTTTAATGCCTGACTTGGGTTGGGGAAGGGCTGGATGTTTTATTTTTTTGTTTGTGTGTGGTCCATGCACATCAGTTTATGGGGTTTGCCTGATCCTTTACATGCATGAGGCTTCCTCTACTTTCCCCCTTATATCTTGAGGCAGACTCTCACTGAACCAGAAGCTTGCCTTTCCAGCCAGGCTATTGGCCAGCAATCTTTTGGAATGTGCCTGTCTCTATCCTCCTTCTGTCCCCACCCCCCACCCGACCCCCCACCCCCACCACCACACCCAGCTTCATCTGAGTGCTGGTTCTCCAACCCTGATCATCTTTTCAAATCTGACCGCATTTGAAGATGGGATCTTACTGTGTAGCTTTGGCTAGTGTGTTAGTTACTTTTCTGTTGCTGTCAAAACACACCATGACCAAGGTAACTAGACAAGAAAGCATTTAACTGGGCTCCCAGTTTCAGAGGGTCAGAGTCCATGATGGCAGAACAAGGCATGGAGGCAGGAACAGCCGAGAGCTCACATCTTGGTCCGCAAACATGATGCAGAGAGAGGACACTGGGAATGGCACAGGACTTTTGAAACTCAAAGTTTGCCCACAGTGACACACCTCCCCAACACCCAAACAGTCTTACCAGATGGGGACCAAGTGTTGAAACATGAGTCTATGGACACCATTCTCTTTCAGAACATCACAGCTAGGTTACAGCTCACCATCCTTTTGCCGCACTCTCCTCAGCGTGCAGATTATAGTTGTGAGCCACCACGTTGAGCCAGTCCTTACTGTTGATTTCTAGTTTTGTTCTTTGTGGTCTAGGACACCCAGGGTATATTTCACTTTGCTTTTGTTTTTTTGTTTTGTTTTATGGTACATTGAAGCTTCTTTTGTTTCCTGACATTTGATCTGTTCTGGAGAGTGCTTTGTTGATGAGGGCAATGTGTTTTGGGTGGAATAATTCTGTGATGTTTAAAGCCTCTTTGGTCTCTAAGTAAAGTTTAATTGCACTGTGGATTTACTTCTCATGTGTTTGCATTGTGTAATTGGGTCCTTCAGCAGTGGGGTGGTGTGTGTGTGTGTGTGTGTGTGTGTGTGTGTGTGTGTGTGTGTGTGTGTAAAATGTTATAAAATGTCTACTATATATGTGACTATTAATATACATATATCATTATAATGAGCCTTGTCTTTTTTTTACAATGTTTGGTTTTAAAGTCACTTTGTCTAACTTAAGTATAGTTAACAGTTGTGAGGTCTGTATGTGTTGGCCATAGTTAACAGT